TACATTGGATGATTTTTTGTCATCATACTCCTAGTTTTATTCATTATAGCAATATCAATAGTCATTTCCTTTTGAATTTTAAAACCGTCTTGTTCACCATGAGAACCAAAGGTTGAGGTTTCAATAAAGGGGTCAAACCGAAGACTTTGAAATTTGTGCTGCTTCTACTTTTACCACATACTACATATAACAATTTCAGTAAAAATAATGCTTCCGGGTATCTAAAGGGTCACATGGCTTCCTGTCCACTGTTACCTTGTGAACTAACAGGGAAATTACATTTGTCATTCATTTTTTATGCACATGACTGGTATATAAATTGTATATTATATTTCTTGTCACTCAGTAATGTATACATGTATGGAATGTATTAATTCATGCTGTTGTAATGATATTCCATAGATTTCAAACGTTTGTGTTTATTTTTCAGTGCTTTGATCAAGTTGATACAGAAGAAAGTACATATGCATCTGGATACAAATTGAGAGAACGTCCTATCCAGCAATTTGATGATAATGTGAGTAGTACTTCTTTAATTTATAGAGAAAAAGTGGCTGCAGTTACTATCAAAGAGTATTCAAATATTATTGGAGCTAGTCCTCCGAGACTGCTTTTTTAAAAAGAAACTATTGTATGATTGTGTGCAATCATTTGTAGACCTAATTAAACTGATGTTTACCAGTATATGTTTTAGTGAGTTAACTCACAGTACTAGTTCTAGTTTAATTTTATCCTTTTCATGAGTTGTGGAACTTTGACCATATTTCTTGCAGCACTGAAAACTTTTATTGCACATTATTTTATTCATAGATATAAGAAGATGGGGTATGAGTGCCAATGAGACAACTCTTCATCCATGTCACAATTTATAAGAGTAAACCATTATAGGTCAAAGTATGGTCTTCAACACGGAGCCTTGGCTCACTTCAAACAGCAAGCTATAAAGGGCCCCAAAAATTACTACTGTAAAACCATTCAAAAGGGAAAACCAACGGTCTAATCTACTGTAAATTCAGAAATTATTGCGAGGTTTTTATTATTGCGACAAATGCGACAGAGTTGTAAACGCAATAATTTAAACTCGCATTTTGAAATATTTTATATGAACTAAACAGGATTTTTCTCAAAATCGTAAAAATTAAAATCGCATTTAATGCAAAAATGACAAAATCGCAATAATAAATGCACGCAATAATTTCTGAATTTACGTTATATAAAAAACGAGAAACACTTTTGAACCACACCAACAAACTACTGAACATCAGATTCCTGACTTAGGACAGGTGCAAACAGTTGCAGTGGGTTTAAACGTTTTAATGGTACCAAACCTTCACCCTTATCTGAAACAATAGTGTAACTTCACAATATTTTAAAAATTTTAATTTATGAAACTACAGCTTATCTTGATATGCCTTTGTTTATAAATGGGAAATATGACGATTGAGGGTTGAGATCTAAAAAAAAACTGTTTAATCTCACCAATTTTTTGCACCTGTACCTAGTCAGGAGCTTCTGGCCTTTGTTAGTCTTGTATAATTTTAGTTTCCTTTATATATTTTGGAGTTTAGTATGACGTCCATTATCACTAAACTAGTACACATTTTTGTTTAGGGACAGCTGAAGCACGCCTCCAGGTGTGGGATTTTCTCGCTGTGTTGAAACCCATTGGTGGCCTTCGGCTGCTTTTCCCCTCTTTGGTTGGGTTGTAGTCTCTTTGACACATATCCAATTTCCATTCTCAATTTTATTGTTCATCAATGAAATTTATATTTTCCCAAGGGCATGGTTAAAAGTTAAAACCATTTGAATGAACATTTGATGTAGGTGAAAATGAACTCTTTATTTTAATTTTTTGTTACATTTATATACACCTGTTTATTCGAATGTATTCAGATTTTACCTAAATTACTATAGTTTAAAAGGTCATTTATCATTTCAGTACTCTGATGTGACACAGCAGTCCCAGTCTTTATCGCAGCCTTTGTCCCAAATATCTAATTGGAGTGATGAAATGGAAACCACTTTGGACCAAGCAAATGCAACATTGAAAATACTAAATTGTAAATCAAGTCCGTTAAGAGGACAGTTACTTTCTGATATATCTTCCCTGAAGGACAGTACCATTCGCTATTATAAGCGTAAAGCAGATGAATCTGTAGATTCTGTACTTAACATTATTGATCCAGGGCAATCAAAGGAGTTAAAAAAACTTATAATGTCAGAACCAACAAAGCCTCCAACAGATGATGAGCTCACTGATACCATTTTAAAATTGTATGAAGAAACAGCAGACAACAAACTTCAAACACAAATTCTATCAATTGTTTCCCAAAAAATGACAAAAGTTGAAATTATGCAGCGTCTGCCTGACATAACAAAATATAAAATAGACCAAGCAAGACTGCTATCAAAATCTGGGTCTGGTTTGGTTATTGAAGAAAAAGTAAGGAGACCTAGAGAGCGTATGGATCAGGAGAAAATGCAACATGCTTTAAACTTTTTTTTCGATCCATCATTCGTACAGATAGTGTCATATGGTACCAGAGAATTGTCATTTGACACTGGAGAAAAAGTGACAATTCCAGACGTTGTGAGAACATCTTGTCATTCACAAATTGTGCAAATGTATTTTTCTTACTGTAAAGATCTCAACTTTGAACCCCTTGGAAAGAGCTCACTCTTCAAAATTCTCACAGCTTGTGCAGCCTCACAAAGAACCAATCTTCATGGCCTTGATAATATAGCAGCTGAAGGTGTTGAAGCTTTTCAATCACTTCATGAATTTGTCAACAATTTGAAAAAAAAATCTTCTATTTCTTCCGATATTCACACTGAATTGACCACAACTTTAACCGCATCCCGTATTTATCTTAAGACCGACTTTAAACTTCATATTAACCAATCAAATATGTGTGCAGATCACTGTATAAACTGGAGTTTAAGTGATCCAAAGGATGTACATTTTCAAAACACTTGTGATCACATTCATTGCTTGCAATGTGATAGATGTCAACTATTGAAAGATGTTCATCTTAAATTGTGCAACATTGTTGATACCATGAATGATGGAGATGACAAAGAAGAATTTTCAAAAGTGATCGAAGATGCAATGATGGTGATATTTGATTGGAAATCACACATTGTAAGAACTGTCAACCAAGACCAATTTAGATTGGATACCATAGAACATCTTGAAACAGATAAAGCTTTACTGGTTATGGATTGGGCCATGAAATTTTTACCCTTGAAATATCGCCAGAAACAAACTGACTGGTTTGGCCAAAGAGGGAAGAACTGGCATGTGATTGTTTGTATATACAGAGAAAAAGATGGATCAATTAATGTAAGTGCATATGTACATGTATGTAATACAAGGTTAAAATACATTGATGCATTTTACAGATGTGGCTTGATATATACATTTTACATGCTATGTCACACATGTAAAAAAAAATTGTTTGTTTATTGACATGTACAAATTGTTCATGCATACACATGTATTGCCAATGCACTCTGTAATTACCGAAAAGGAAGTATTTTATTAATTTTCATGCATATCAATCATATGCTTTTTATTTCATATGAAACAACCAACAAATATAAACAATATTACATGTCAGAATTAGCTCAATTTTAAAAAGGTTGAAAAATTGTTGACATGAAAATTTGACATCAATCATGATAAAATTTTAACCAATTATCTGCTAAGAACAAATTTTTCATTAGTGTTAAGAAATATATGTCTCTCACCAATTGTGAAATGTGAAAATAGTGTAGAAATAAAATTATTCAGTATTCGTTTAAGATTCTAATGAAATACATGGAATAGATTCTTATGAAATGAATATATAAGTAGTCTTTTATTTTAAATGAATTCAGTATCCAAATTTATAAAAATTGTATGTATACACTAAGTCTTGTGCATTTCTTTTTCAGCATAGAACTTTCACCCATGTTTTAGAATCTGTGAAACAGGATTGGTTTGTGTGGCTTCACTTCTTGAAAATGTTATAATGACCATCAAAGTCAACTCCCTCAAACTAAGAAGTTAGTTCTGCGATCAGATAATGCAGCATGCTACCACTGTGGACATATCTGGTTATGCTTACAAGAAATAAGTAAAAGAACAGGTAACATATTACAAAATAATTTGGGCTAAGATAAAAGCAGATTAGGAGAAAACAATATCAGTATTAGTGGCACTAGTGTAATGTTCATCTAAATCTTTAATAAGCACCTTGAGACATTGCTTTGGAAAAAAACAACCTAGGGATAACATTCAATCTATATCTAAAAAATAATATAATTATAGTTATGGAAAAACTAAAGTAGTAAAATTGTTCACCATAACAAAAGCTATCCAACAAGAAATTTTCTGATGAATCAGACAACACATGAAGAGTTATTGCCCTTATTCTATTTATTTAGACATGTTTCATAAACTGATTGTATGTCCCCTGCCATAGCAGAGGGAGCTTAAAGTTTTACCCTTGTCTATATAAAAAAGAAGATGTGTTATGACACATAAATTAACAACTATAGGTCACTGTACGGCCTTCAACAATGAGTAAAGCCCACACCTCATAATCAGCTATAAAAGGCCTCGAAATGATAATGTAAAACAATTCACATGAGAAAACTAGCTGCCTAATTTATGTACAAAAAATGAACGAAAAACAAATATGTAACACATAAACAAACGACAACCACTGTACGTCCGTTCTCTAACTTTAGTTTGCCTTAACCAAATGTAATTAAACTTATACACAATGCTTATTACCACAAAACACAATCAAGTTTGAATTTTGGTGGCGTCACTTTAGCCATTCTAGAGTTATGCCCCTTTACAAATGGTAAAATTGCTAAATTTTTAATTTTCGTTCTCTTGCTGTAGCTTTCCTCAATCTAATGTAATGAAACTTATACACATTACTTAACATAAAAATCAGGTATTTTGTGTATATTTAAATTGAAGAGACTTCAGAATTTATGGCAAAGTAATGAATATCTTTTATTTCATAGAGATCAATATTCAGGGATATTGCTATTCTGAGGCCCAAGCAGGAAAGTCATATTGTGATTCAAAGATAGCACATATGCGCACAAAGATGAAAAGTTGGGTTGCAAGTGGAAAAAACATCGTAACAGCAGCTGATATGAAAACTGCACTTGACTCTGGAACAGGTAAATTAACAAAATGTACATTGTTCAAACAGAAAACACAATTACAACACAAACCCACTGTGAACTAAATGTGCCCTGTTAAGATAAGCAAATCCGGTTCAATACACAATTTCAGAGACAGTTTGTTTCTCAGAAGTAAATTTCATTTCACAAATAAATCTGACATGATAATGTCAAAATGTTAGACTTGACTATATTAAAAAAAACAGTGTCTTCATGAAATAACAACAAAAGGCTGAGGCTCACATACGCATGTAAAATCACCCATATTAAATAGAAAATTTTTAAAGCATTGGTTAAAATGATCTATGGCATGTTGTTTGAAGCCCCATGTATGATATTATAATGACTTAATTTTTTCTGGTCTGTGTGTCCATCTGCTTGACCGTTTGTCTGTCTGTTCCTTATTTGGTCAAAGTTAGTTTGATTGAAGTTTTTAGTCACATCAGCTTGAAACTTAGTACAAATGATCTTGATGGTGGGATATTTTCAAATTGTATGCCAAATTAGAAGCATATTATCTGATTATAGAAATTTAATTAACGTGAAAACAGGTTTTTTTTCAGGTTAAAGTTTTTGGTCATAGTAGAAAGTTTTAGTCAGATTAGCTGGGAATTTAGTTCATAATTTCCTTATAATATAAAAAAAGAAGATGTGGTATGATTGCCAATTAGGCAACTCTTCAGAAGATACCAAAATGACACAGAAATTAACAACTTTAGGTCACCATAAGGCCTTCAACAATGAGCAAAGCCCATACCGCATAGTCAGCTATAAAAGGCCCAAAAATGACAATGTAAAACAATTCAAACGAGAAAACTAACGGCCTAATTTATGTATTAAAAATGAGCGAAAAACAAATATGTAACTACTTTTTAGCTCACCTGGCCCGAAGGGCCAAGTGAGCTTTTCTCATCACTTGGCGTCCGTCGTCCATCGTCGTTAGCTTTTTACAAAAATCTTCTCCTCTGAAACCACTGGGCCAAATTTAACCAAACTTGGCCACAATCATCATTAGGGTTTCTAGTTTAAAAAATGTGTCCGATGACCCTGCCAACCAACCAAGATGGCTGCCGTGGCTAAAAATAGAACATAGGGGTAAAATGTAGATTTTGGTAATATCTCTGAAACCAAAGCATTTAGAGTAAATCTGACATAGGGTAAAACTGATTATCAGGTCAAGATCTATCTGCCCTGAAATTTTCAGACAAATTTGACAACCTGCTGTTGGGTTGCTGCCCCTGAATTGGTAATTTTAAGGAAATTTTGCCGTTTTTAGCTCACCTGGCCCAAATGGGCCAAGTGAGCTTTTCTCATCACTTGTCGTCCGTAGTCGTCGTCCGTCGTCGTTAACTTTTACAAAAATCTTCTCCTCTGAAACTACTTGGCCAAATTAAACCAAACTCGACCACAATCATTATTGGGGTATCTAGTTTAAAAAATGTGTCCGGTGACCCGGCCAACCAACCAAGATGGCCGCCATGGCTAAAACTAGAACATAGGGGTAAAATGTAGATTTTGGCTTATATCTCTGAAACCAAAGCATTTAGAGCAAATCTGATATGGGGTTAAATTGTTTATCAGGTCAAGATCTATCTGCCCTGAAATTTTCAGATGAATCGGACAACCCTTTGTTGGGTTGCTGCCCCTGAATCGGTAATTTTAAGGAAATTTTGCCGTTATTATCTTGAATATTATTATAGATAGAGATAAACTGTAAACAGCTATAATGTTCAGCAAAGTTAGATCTACAAATAAGTCAACTTGACCATAATGGTCAGTTGACCCCTTAAGGAGTTATTGCCCTTTATAGTCAATTTTTAACCATTTTTCGTAAATTTTTGTAATCTTTTACAAAAATCTTCTCCTCTGAAACTACAAAGACAAATTTAACCAAACTTGTCCACAATCATCATAAGGGTATCTAGTTTAAAAAATGTGTCCGATGACCCTGCCCGCGAACCAAGATGGCCGACATGGCTAAAAAATAGTACATAGGGTAAAATGCAGTTTTTGGCTCATATCTCTGAAACAAAAGCATTTAGAGCAAATCTGACGAGAAAAAATTGTTCATTAGGTCAAGATCTATCTGCCCTGAAATTTTCAGAACAATCAGGCAACACATTGTTGGGTTGCTGCCCCTGAATTGGTAATTTTAAGAAAATTTTGCAGCTTTTGGTTATTATCTTGAATATTATTATAGATAGAGATAAACTGTAAACAGCAATAATGTACAGCAAAGTAAGATCTACAAATAAGTCAACATGACCAAAATTGTCAATTGACCCCTTAAGGAGTTATTACCCTTTATAATAAATTTTTCACAATTTTCATAAATTTTGTAAATTTTTGTAAATTTTTACAAAATATTTTCCACTGTAACTACTGGGCCAAGCTCATTATCTCTATTTATAGATAGAGATAATAGTAAGGAGCAAGAATGTTCAGTAAAGTAAGATCTACAAACACATCACCATCACCAAAACACAATTTTGTCATGAATCTATCTGTGTCCTTTGTTTAATATGCACATAGACCAAGGTGAGCGACACAGGCTCTTTAGAGCCTCTAGTTGGTTATTATCTTGAATATTATTATAGATAGAGATAAACTGTAAACAGCAATAATGTACAGCAAAGTAAGATCTACAAATAAGTCAACATGACCAAAATTGTCAATTGACCCCTTAAGGAGTTATACCCTTTATAATAAATTTTTTACAATTTTCATAAATTTTGTAAATTTTTGTAAATTTTTACCAAATATTCTCCACTGTAACTACTGGGCCAAGCTCATTATAGATAGAGATAATAGTAAGGAGCAAGAATGTTCAGTAAAGTAAGATCTACAAACACATCACCATCACCAAAACACAATTTTGTCATAAATCTATCTGTGTCCTTTGTTTAATATGCACATAGACCAAGGTGAGCGACAAAGGCTCTTTAGAGCCTCTAGTTGGTTATTATCTTGAATATTATTATAGATGGAGATAAACTGTAAACAGCAATAATGTTCAGCAAAGTAAGATCTACAAATAAGTTGTCATGACCAAAATTGTCAGTCGACCCCTTTAGGAGTTATTGCCCTTAATAGTCAATTTTTAACAATTTTTTGTAAATTTTTGTAATCTTTTACAAAAATCTTCTTCTCTGAAACTACTGAGACAAATTTAACCATACTTGGCTATAATCATTATTAGGCTATCTTGTTTAAAAAATTTGTCCGATGACCCCGCATTCCAACCATCATGGCCGACTTGGTTAAAAAAATAACATAGGGGTAAAATGCAGTTTTTGGTTTATATCTCTGAAACTAAAGCATTTAGAGCAAATCTGACAGGTGGCAAAAATGTTCATCAGATTTAGATTTATCTGCCCTGAAATTTTGAGACGAATCCGACAACCCTTTGTTGGGTTGCTGCCCCTGAGTTAGTAATTTTACAAAAATTTTGCAGTTTTTTGTTATTATCTTAGATATCATTATAATATCTAATATCCAATACTATTAATTATGATTTTAACCTTATTTTACATGATTTCCAAAGCATCAGTAAATACAGGTGAGCGACACAGGCTCTTGAGAGCCTCTAGTTTTACTTTTTTTAAAACTGCTTTTTTTTCATCAAAAGATCATATCGAATAATGTATTCACATTTTGTTGAAGTTGAAAACATGACCTTTGAATTGGTTTATAATTCCCCTCATTATTTTTTTTTCACAGGTGTTGCTGGATGTCAAGTCTCTGAATGTGTTATAGACACCTCAAAACACAAACTGATAACACACAAGTTGAAAGGAATAAATGATTTTAATGAGTTGCAAGTTGAAGAAGATGGTATACTACTGAGGAAAGCCTACAACATCGGCAAAGGAAAATTTATTCCTAATGCATCCTTAGACCAAATGGGTTTTGGTAAACAGCAGGAAAATGAATCAGGATGTGTGGTAATATCAGGATTCGATTTACCTGTTAATATAACTGGAAAAATCAAAACACCTAAAACAGTTCCTGCGGTTAATCTCCTTGAAGGACCAGAAACAGAAATAGAAAATGATGAAGACTCATCAAGATTATCCTCTTGTCATTCAGAAAGTTCTGATCAAATGCTGTTCTATTGCACAGTAGTTGGCTGTGTCAAAAGATTTGCTACCTTAAATGGACTGAAAACCATCTATTGATAGGAAAGCATTTTTTACAATTGCAACGAGAAACAACCTATGATAAAATCAGACACCAGTGGGCACAGTTGTGCAATGAAGTGGTCTTTACAACCAAAAATAAATCAACATTAACAGATGGGACTGAAAAAGAATTTTCCACAAGTAATATAGGATGGGCTTTAAAGAAAGGCAGGAAAATATCAAGATTTCCAGAATCTGTTAAAATCTTTCTATTGGCCAAATTTGAAGAAGGAAATAGAACAGGAAAAAAGTGTAACCCAGCCTCTGTTGCAGAAGAAATGAAAAAGATGAAAAACTCAAATGGGGAAAAAATGTTTCCAACTAATCATTGGCTTAATGCCAGTCAGATAACCTCTTACTTTTCAAGGTTATGTAGTAAAGGAACCCCTAATCCTTTAGTAAAGACTGAACTTGATGATGAAGATCTTCTTGCAGCTCTAATTGCCATTGATGAGGAAACTGTTATCGCTAATATTCAATAACTATTTACTCTTTTATTATTCTATACCTGTTATTGTTGTTTGGCTACATGTACACTGTCATATAATTTTGAATAATGGGTAACATTTAAATTTTTAGTCTAACTAATATACAATTTTGGCATAAATTTTATAAATATTTAAAAAACATATCCATTTGTACCAAGAACTAGGATTTTTTTTATGGTGCAAAATTTCTTTTAACAGTAATTATTATTTATAAGTGATATCTAAAAAAAAATTAAAAAAAAACATCTTAAGCTTATTTTAGCAGATTATTTTTTTTTGTGTGCATGTCTTATAAGTCATCATATTGTGTATTGGTTAAGCAATTTACTTATTCATGTTATTAAAACCGGTTTAGGATCAAGAAAATTTGTGGAGAAGCTGAATGACATTTAGTGTCTTTTAGGATGTACTTGAATAAGGTCTAGGAATTAGTGTCAGATGTCAAATATTTTGCCCCATAACACCTATTTTTCTTTTCAAATAAGATTTCAATAGCTCATTAAATGTCAGTTACCAAAATATGGTGGCCTTTGGCTGTTGTGTGTTCTTTGGTCGGATTGTTGTCTCTTTGACACTTTCCTAATCCCAGTCCGCCTTTCCAGCAATTTTTAAAAATCCAAATATTTTGAAAAAGAGCTCCATAACCCATTAATATTTTGGCGTATTTTGTTTCTTAACTAATACTTTCCCGAACGAATAGTATCAATTTTAAATTCTTGATTTTTTTTAATTTCACCAAAGTACATCCTTAATGGCTTGAAAACTTTAAAACATATCAAAAAGTTTGGGCTAAATTACAATCAAATTGTCCTTCAATCTGTCCATTTTTTAAACAAACATTTTTTGTTAAATTTTTCTCTGAACGTGTAGAATTGAAATATTTACCGTCATATGTGATCAACTGCACTGTAACAGTAATGAGTTGTAATTTTTGTTATTTTTTTTTTTTAACATTGTGCATTGGTTTGTTTGTCTGTTCGTTTTTCTGTCTGTCTGTCCTGCTTCAGGTAAAGTTTTGGTCAAGGTAGTTTTTGATGAATTGTAAGGCCTAAAAAATTGTAACTTAATACACATGTTCCCTATGGTATGATCTTACTAATGTTTATGCCAAATTTAAGTATTGACCCCAATTTCGCAATACACTGAGCATAGAAAATGATATTTTGAGTGGGGTATCGGTGTACTATGGACACATTCTTGTTCAAAACAGTATATTAAACGAACATAAAAATATTTGTCATAAATTATTAAAGTACTAAGCAATCACTCTTTTGAATAGAAGCTTATGATACATATTTGAACAATGAAAACTAAGCATTATTAAAATATGTTAAAATGATTTTGCTTATACCATATAATTAATTTTTTTTGGAAAATTAAACATTTGAACAACTTATTATCTATTTTTCTTTTTATTCTTCACTTCCATGATCTCCAATTGACTCTGAGGTAAACATTGAATTTAAGTTCAATATAGATATACGAATAAGGGTGGTGTCACTTTATACATGTAATTTCACTAGATATGTCCTGTTCAAAAGGGAAAAAATGCTTAATACAAGAACATTGACTTTTGCATATTTACATATTGGGGAAGGGGAAAAGGGGGGGGGGCACCTTTGTGCCATGAACATCTGTTTCTTTATTTTACTGATTGTACCACTGAACAAACATTTTGTAGGAGTAACTGTTTACTGTAAATTCAGAAATTATTGCGTGCATTTATATTTGCGATTTTTCAAGAATGGACAAAAATGTGAGATTAATTATTGCGATATCATGAAAATCTGCATACAGATATATGTAACAGACATCAGATTGCGAGTTCTTATTATTGCGATAGTCACCCAGTCGCATTATTCGCATTAATAAAAACCTCGCAATAATTTCTCAATTTACAGTATCACATCTATAAATACCATAAAAATCAGTGTGGGAGACACAAAACATAGTAATCGTTGGCTGAAATTTCTTCATGATGTGGATCAGTATATTGAGAAATATATTTGGTTTTTAGAAATCATATCCTTCATTTATTTCAATTCAGATCCCATTGAAGCTTGTAAGGTAACAACACAATTTCTTGTGGACTTTGGCTCATTACTAATGCAAATCATAACATTTTTCCCCTTGGAAATAGTCTAAGCGACCCTCCTCCCCAATCATACATGAACACGCTATATATTGTTCCACTCAAAATGAAGAAAGTTAACCCTTTAAACCCTGGTATATCATATGTATAGGAATTGGCACGACATAAGTGAATATTTCACTTAAATTGGATCAACATGGGGCGTAAAAATCATAACATAAAAAAAAACTTAAAAATTGGTGATTTTGATGGTGCTGCCACCTACAGCAGCGAAATATTTCCGAACTTTTTTTTGTTTAGATTTATTCTATAGGGCTTCTACTAAAAGGAAATATATAATAAATGTGTGTATACTGTTGCTGTTTCTAAAAAAAATAAAATGAAATTAGATGAAATTTGCATTTTTCGAAAATGCTTTTTGATCACATTTCCATGGTTACGGTTGCTAGGGAAGAAAATATTTGAAATCAATTTTCAATCTGTTTTCATATCACTATACATATGAACTCTATATAAAATATATACTAGCAACAAAAATTAGATGATTAAAGCAAGATAAATTACTTTAAAAACGTGCCTTTTTGTAGTTTTCCTTGCTCATTTTCAGGGGCCTTCAAGGGGAAATTTTAAAATGATTTTTTTTAACACAAATTTTTTTTTTTTTTAAAAGAATTTCATTTTCAAATTCTAATAAGGTGTGTTCACATCTAGAATATGTTATTTGATCAATTTGCCAACATGGGCTTATCACTGTTTGCCTGATTCTTACATGGACCTGTACTTAATGCTTTGCACATGCTTACATAATTTGGGCACAAAAAATATATATTTTGTAATATTTCTTCAAACTGTCAATTATAGCGAACTGTACGACCAGCAAGTTAAAAAATAAGGCCGCTAGACGTCAGAGCAATCTGGGAATATCAAACACTGCCTAGTTATTCTGGTTCTATTGATGACCGTACTGCCTACAACAACAACAAAAATTCCACACTGTATATTTGGCTTTACAAGTCTCCAACAAGAGAAATATTTTACACACACACATGTATTCATGTAGATTAACATGTCTTTCAGAGTGCTAAACTGTAACCATCACATTAAGGTCCGTCTTGTGAATGAGTATTCAACTCATATAGAAAAATATGTTTGTGCTGATATTCATATAATATTTGCCACTGAAAGTTTTGCAAAAATAAAGACAAAAACGGAAAAAAATAAAAACTAATAGTTCAGATGTAGGTCCGTGTTCAGATCACTCAATGTGAGCACTTGCCCTGTCAACAAACAGTGATATAGGGAGATTGTCGGATTCCGATTATGACTGAAAAGGACAAACATTTTTTTTAATACAAAGGTAGCTAATTAACTCTTGATACCTTGGAATTTTTTTTTCCTTCACCTTTTGGTACCAATTAATGCTGTTTGCTCTTGCCTTCTGGGTGTTGGCTTTAAACAGAGACCGATTCGAGTATTTCATTATGTTTTAGAGTACACGGCTCAATAAGCACAGACGAATTCATTTTTGATTGATATATTTTATCTGTATTTTTAAAAAGGTCGGCTAATTGTACATTATATTGACATGTTATTTGATTACATTACAGAACCTTGGAGAAACAGCTATACATCTGGCTGCTTGGAAGGAACATCTACAGGTCACAAGATATCTCGCAGAACAAGGAGGTATCAGTCCGTTGGTTAAAACACATAAGAATGAAAGCGAGTTATCTGAAGAAGCAATAAATTTCAAGGCCAAAATACAATCATAGTATACATCAACTGTTTTCCTTATTTCAGTCCTGTTTCAAGACTATGTATCCCAGGCACTGATTCTGCAAAAAGAAGACAGAAAGAAACAGAAGGTCTTAGGTCGGCAGATAAAGGGTTTCAACGGAGATCAGTGGAGCTAACACCGGGATTGATTGATTGGTGTTTATGGGTCTTTCCCTTATTTTCTACATGTGTCAATGAACTCATCATCTTCTGTCGATTTAAAGTCGAAAATAGGACTCTTACTTAAGCACACACAAATATAATATATTTATTTATAGTTCACCTTTATCTTTTTAGTTTCAACAGAATCCTGATTTGTTACAAAATCAACTATAAAATAAAAATTATTTTGATATATTTAATTTGTGGTGTAAGCTCTGCCGGAATAAACGAGTGTTTGTCTCACTGTCTATTGTTACAATTAGTGCTCATCAAGGATTCCTCATTGAAACAATAAATATTTTGTATTTGATTATGCAGTTTTATCATTTGAGTATGTTGAATTATGATATAAGAAAGATCATACAGAAACGAAATTTTATTTCTTTGCTGTGGTGATGTGTAGAATAGTCCGCTTATTCAGGAAAATTTACTAAATATTTTGTAGGTATATATTAAATTGAAATACATAATTCACACAATAATTGTTTTTTATTTCA